TGCATGTTACCTAATTTCACAAGTCATAATTCGCATGATAAACACACAATTCACATTACATCACAATTAGCATATAACTACCTAAAGCAAGTTTCCCCCGATTATCTCAAACTTTTAAGAAATCAAAGATTTAAAGGTTTACCCCTCAATATTATAGCTTCTAAGCTTGAATTTTCAAGCCAAATTGGTGTCTAAGAGCTTAATCTATAATTAACTAAGTTAATCTCTATTAATATTACTAGACACAAGCATTCAACTCTCATTTCTCCACTTCTTAACTACCCAATGCCCATTTTGTATAAGTTTGGGCTTATCCATTGAGTTTATTAACTATCTTTAGTTCCCATTTACATTAATGAGCCATTAAACTCCCATTAATGGTATTACAACTCTCCTAACAACTCTCATAAATATCATTTTCGGATATTTATGAAGCCCAACAACTTAAGACATCAAAATTCATTGTACCTAAGTTTAAATACTTTAATGTACTCTCATTAACTCTATATGAGTCAATAGATTCGGACCCATAATCTATATAAATCAATAATCATCTTTCACTAGCAAATCCTAATTATAAACTCATAAATGTAGAAAAGATGGGGAGATTAATGAGTGTGATACTTACTTTGGGTGTTTGACACTACTGTTGAATAGTACTAAAATTAATAAAAACTAGATTTTGCAGTAAAGCACAACCTAGGGTGTCTCCCTAAGAGTCAATAGAGCAACTATTTGAATTATGATTATAAAAAGGTAAATGATGGGAAGTTTTTTATAATGAAATTAATTTAAAAAAAATAAATAAATAATAAATAAATAGAAGAAATTCAACTATAAAAATTATCAAGCACACGCAACACAATCAATCACAATCCAATCACTTAAACTTAATATTTCTTGTCCACCAAATAAATCAATTTATTTAACTTTATTATTCTAGTTTTATTATATATTTTTCAAATTATCATTCAAGAATTAAATAAGAAATTAAGTTATAAATTAATTGAGATCTCCCTCAACCTATAACCTAACAATTGTTTTATATTAGCCACACCAAAAACAAAGCATGAGTAATCACTCAAGCCAAGCCAATTACTCTTAAGTTACTATATCAATCAATTATAGCAAGTAAAACCTCAGATAAAATTTATAACTCAACAATTATACAATAAAGCTACTCCAATCAGCAATAGCAATTAAAGCATAAAATTCAGAGGTAGAGAGAAGAGGAGCAAATTGGAATAAAGCTAAAATAAAATCTTCCCTGAATATAAAGACTCTGATTAAAATTTAATATCATAGTTTGTGATTGATCACATCAAGAAATTAACTCTTCATAAAATTAAAAATCAAACAACATAAGATGAGAAAATTGAGAAGCCATCACCCAAGAAATTGGATTAAGGAAAGACGAACGACGATCGCTGTTCTGTTTCCCTTTTCTTTTCGTCAAAATCATGTGGTCCCCTTTTTTCTTGTATCAGATGTGCCTCCCGTCTCTGTGTGTGTGTGTGTGTGAAAAGTGGAGCATCTCCTGCATCTCTCTTTCTTTCTTTTATAATAAAAACTAATAATCTATTAAAAAGATAAAACTATCTCAAATAACCCTAATTGAAAATTACACTAAATAACCCAAAATAAATCTAAACAAAATTTTAAAGATTTAAATTTTGATTTGATCTCCAAGCATACCCAAATTCTTCTTATCTAAAATATTTTTTATTAATATCTTCTAAATTGAATCTAGAAAATCTGCACAAATAAAACAAAATTAAATAGCACATGTGTACAAATATTAAAGATATCATTTATATTTTAAAATCATAAATTTAGATAGTTAAAATTTCCACACTGAATATTGGCTAATAAAATTAAATAATATCTAATTAAACTCAATTAGCTTTAAATAAATATTTAAAAATCTAAATTAAAAGGATAAAAATATATAAAATTGCTATTCATCAGTGTTTGTAACTTCCAAAATATTCCCAATATCGTCCAAGAATAACCCTAGCAAAGCTTGGTCACTGGTTCTTGTTCTCTCTTTTTTTCTCTCTATTTTTTATCTCAGTTCATGACTGATAAACTATAGAAAATGATGATGCACTGTGATGGACACTAAATGCACCGCAGTGCATGGCATAAAAAGGTCCTCTTCTCGCATCAGTTATGTTTGTGCGTCACGACGGATGCACTTCATGCCACGACATGTGGCACAAACAATACTTCCTCTTTATTTCTTCTCCTTCTAATGTCCAAGTAGGCCAACTTCATATCAAACTCACAATTAGGACTGAAACACTATCGAATATGATTATTAAATCTTCTTAGCCACACACCACTTTAACTTACTTAATTACCTTGATTAAGCTTACTAAATTAGGAAATTAAAAATTGAGATGTTACATGTAAGACTTTGACCATGTCCTTTAATGCTAATTTTTCTCTAAACTCTTTTTTCAAGAGCGTTGGGCATCCGAAAATCTTTTTTTAGGAGCACTGAGTACCTTAAAGTCTTATTAAAATAAAATTTAATAAATATTGCCAAAATATTATATTTAATAATTTAAATATTATTATTTATAAATATTTATTCAAAATTTATAAATTACTTTTTAAATATTAAAAACTCAAACTAGCATTTTATAAATTTATAAATGACTTCTTATTTTGTATGTAGTGATTTTCAATATTTTTTTTCGAGACAATGCCCAAATCGTTATGTCTTTTGTTTGTGTTAGAATTTACTTATATTTTTAATATTGATTAAGTTCCTTAAATTTTTAGGTTATTTTTTATAATATTTTTGCTCATTAATGATCTTCTTCCAAAATATTGCACTATCAAAATTTAGTATGTATTTGATTTTTAGTTTGTCAAAAGTCAGTTTGATTAAAGTTCATTAACAAAAGTTAATTTAGTGAGAGTTAGTTATTATAATGAAATTTATATTTAGATATATTTTTTCAAGAGTTAGTTTGGCAAATTGAAAGTTGTTTGGATTAATAAAAAGTTGTATTTTTAAAATGTACTTTTAAAACATGCAATGACTAAAAAAGATATTGATTTATGATAATTTATAATTTTAATTATATAAATATAATATATTAGAAATGTTTAAAAATGTCAAAAAAATTTCAATAACATAAAATTGAAGATGTTAAATAATAAGAATAAAAAATATATAATATAATATTCAAAAAAATTATGTAATAAGTAGTTCAACATTCATTAATATTGAATAGTTATATTATTAATAGTTTAATCTATAATATACAATCTGATCTCTGATAGAATCTTTAAACTGTTAATTTGAAAAAAGTAAAACTTATGGATATTAATTTGAAATCAAGGTAAATTATAGGACTTAAAACACTAATTTTTCTTGTACAAACTTTATAATAATTTTTCTATCTTTCTTCTTCGAGAAAAGAATTACAATATCTTATCTTTCTGGTGAAGGAGTAGAATTCGGTTAAAAGAACAAAAGAAGATCAAGACGATGGAGGAGACACAGAGGCGAGATGGAAGAGACGTGAAGGAGAGACGGAAGCGATGAAGCTCAAGAGGCCAACAAAACGAGAAACCAAACTCAAGAAGGAAGAAATGGAGGGACTCAGTCCACTCTATGACCAGACGACGGTGGAGGAGAGATGGCAGAGAAAAAGAGGAGTGAGATAAGAGAGCTCGAGCAAAAGAGATGGGAGTGATAGTAAACACAAACCTCAGGTGTGCACGACAAGAATGAAAATAATGGAGGTTATTATGGTCAAATGTAAAATTAGGTACAAGTCATTAATGCTCTACTGATCACATTCACATGTGAAAAGCTACCCAATAGAGCCTTGAAAAATTCATGTTTCACCCATCCCAAAAGTACTTTTTAGAAGTTCTTTTGATCTGATAAATTGATCCCGAACAAAATTTCACATCCCAAAAGTAAAAAAGCACTTTTGAGATGTGAAATGTGGAGTTTTCAAATGCACTCTTAATACTCTTTATACGTTGCAATGTTTATTTGAAAGGTATCAATTATTTCATCAATGTGCTATAAAAAAAATTTAACGAGAGAAAAATGAAAAGATGAAAAGAAAAATTCCTTCGTTTATTTGAAGATTCATTCCTTTCATTTTTAATACAAAATTAAAAATTTTCAAAAAATTAAAATATTTAATTGGACGGTGTGATATTTTAAATAATAATATTTAAATTATTAAATATTAAAATACATAATATTTTCACAATATTCATTAAATTTTACTTTAACAAGATTTTATGGTGTTCAGCACTTCTAAAAAAAACTTTAGGATGCTTAATACTTTTAAAAAAAGAGTTCAATGAAAAATTAGCACCAAATGATATAATCAAAGACTTACACGTCTTTGATTCACTGTGCGTGGGCCCTACACACATTATATGTTAGCAAAACATAAAAAAATTAATAGTTGACTAATAAAGATGATATGTTAGCAAAACATAAAAAAATTAATAGTTGACTAATCAAAGAAGTTTTTTGCTCTTCAAAAAAATATCCCAAGACTAAAACTGCTCCATTTAAGAGTATAGAATGTCCATCATTCCTTAAAATTAAGTGTAAGGAAAAAATTGGACCTTAACTCATATTTCTTTTAACGAGAATTTCAATCCAACCTTGCCATGTTTAGAAAAGCTAGCAATTTTCATTAAACTCAAGTACGTTAATATTCTAATTAGAATTAGATGAATCAAGTGGAATCCCATGTAAATTCAACATGTAAAAAAAAAATGATAATAACAAAGGTAGCTGCAAATGATAATAGATTCTATCTCTGGACAAGAAAGTCTCAATTTGGGAAATTTGAAATTTTCAAAAAGGAAAAAAGAGAAAGCAAATAACCGAGATAAAAAACAGAAATGTTGATTGTTGATAAAGAAATATTGTTGAAAAAAAACTAAATCCAGCGCATCAAAATAAAATAGATATTATTGTTATACCATAGAATATTCCCTTCTTTGTCGTCCGTTCGATCGAATCCTCCTCGACGCTGCCTTATCCATTTCCTCCCCATTTTCGTTGAGCCGAGAAATGTGACCGCAAATCCAAATTTCCTTCAGGTCAAAGTGGTAATTTCGTTTCCTCCCCACTTTTTATTTATTTGGCCTCGGTCTCCAGCTGATTCGCCTTCCTTCCTTCTTTTTGGATTCTGCAGGAGAAGCTTTTTCTTCCGATTCCGTTCTTCTTCTTCCTCTCCCTTCTCTTGTTGTTTCCTTTGGATTGAAAGGCCATCATGGTTAATAAGTTCTAACAATTTTTGTTGTTGAATCGGGCGAAGGAAAATAAATAAACGGAATTCAGAAGTTTTAAGTTTTTTCCCCCTAATACACACAATTAAAGGTTGTTGTAAACTAGAAGGATTTTTTTTTTTTTGGGTTTGAATTTAGCTTAATTTGGAGCGGATTCGATTATTTTGATTAATTGGGTTTTGAATTTGAGGAAGGCAATTCTAGACGACGAAGAATTTCCGGGTCGATTGTGTTGTACCAGTATGAGGGCGGCTTTTGTTGCGTGCCTTTGGGTGTGAATTTTCTTGTCGTGATTGTTGTTTGGCGGTGTCGTTTGATTGTGGTTGGTGGAATGAAACGACTCCATTAGCGGCGGAGGGATGGATTGCAGGGTTGTAGCCGCCGCGAATTTATGGGGTCGTTTTGGCGTTGGTGGGATGAGTCAGATCGGAGGAGGGTTCAGCCATGAGAGCGAACACGATTTGGCGTTGATGGTGAGTGATTTCTTGGAGAATGGTAGTAGTGGCGCCGAGTCTTGGTGTAGCAGTGACAGCGATTCTGGCCTCTCTGATTTCGCTCAACTTGCAGAAAAAATTCAGGTAAAATCCATCATTACTTTAAGAGGAAAATTCGTTAGTGTTGTTCTTGCTGGTAGCAGAAGAAATATTTTCATCTTGAAGCTTTTGATTTTAAATATATACTCCCTCTCTTAAAAAATATAAGTCATTTTTAACCGAATCTCACCCAATAAAATAATTATCTTCTTTTCAACCAATCCTATCTTTTCATATTTACTCTTATTAAATATCCTATGAATATAAAGTTATTATCAATAAGGACACTTCTGAAAAAAGGCAATGATTACATCTTAAAAAATTAAAAATGTTTTACATTTTTTAACCTCCAACTCCTCAAAAAATACCTTATATTTTTTAACAGAGAGAGTATGTATGTGCTAATAGGAATTGCTATTGGCAGTCTTAACCAAAGATCAATTAGTTGGTGAGGTCACCTTGGAAGACAAAGTATGTAGATCATTATATATTGTATATGCATTAATATATTAAAATAAAGTCGTCGCAATTGGTGTTAGGTGCAATTGCATGTATGTACTTTTTTTCCATCTTGCAATTATTTTCTTAAATTTGGTTTATATTGTCTGACCTTCTATAATAGCATAATTTGGAGCGAGATCTGATCTAAGTTATTTAGCTATGTAGACTTTGTCTGGATGATGCAACATTCTATTGTTGTGAAAGTTCTCATTTTACTGGTATATTTATTTTGCGTATGGTGATCTGATCTAAGTTATTTATTTAGCTGAATTGTGAAAGTTCTCATTTCTGATTTCCTGTTGTAATCTAAAGTATTATGTATTATGGCTTTATGTATAGCTGAATTATGTATCACCTATATCGTTGGATGTTTTGCTTTTTCCATGCTTAGTTTGCTAGTGGCTGCCCTTTGGTTTATTTATGCATTCTTCTATGTTGCTTACCATCATAAGTTGAATATATTGCCTATCTATAGAGAGTAGTGATTGCAGGAATTGAACATAGAATATTTGATAACCTGAAGAGATTTAGACTGATCTGCTCCATTTTTCACGTTATATGTTTCAAACTTCACTCGGTATGCTTTAAAGGATGTTACCTGCCTAGTAGGCCTTTCCTAATGCTGCATAATGTTGGTTCATTTTAAGAATCTAGTTCCTAATTTCCATGCACAATCTGTTTTCTTTGCTGTACTAGGTTGTCATATTTTATAAGGGTTTGTTGTGCATAGAAGATATTTAATATATCTTGAGTTTCATTGTAGCGCATTGCTATGCTTTTCTATGTAGAGTTAAACATCATGTAGCACATATAAACGGACATTTCAATAGGCATTTCTCCCTCAGCACACATAAGAAGGGGTTAAAAGTGATAAATCATGCTTCAAACCTTTTCAATGCAGAAATTGTCAGAGTTTAAAATTTCTTCTCTACCTATATTCTCTTGTCCAGTTGTAAAAATTGTAGGGTACTAAGGCTGCCTATGTTGCTCTCTGATAACTTCTGAAAATCAGTGGAACAGAGGAGGAGAGTATCATGTAACTATAGGCTGAGGATCAATACAACAACAAAAACAACAACAAGCCTTTATTCCAATAGGTGGGGTGGGCTATATGGATTGCAAGACGTCATTGTGCTCTATCATTTATCAAGCTTTTAGAAATATTATTAATTAAGATATCGCGTTCCACAACTTCCAAGTATGTTCTCTTAGGCCTTTCTCTACCCCTCTTAACAGGGTTTAAAGTTATATGTTCCACTCTTCTCATTGGTGCCTCCCGCGGTCTTTTTTATACATGCACAAATCATCTCAAACGATTTTCTACCATTTTTTCCTCAATAGGTGTTACCCTCACTTTTTCGCATGTGTGCTCATTTCAAATTTTATCTTTACGTATATGTCCGCACATCCATCATAACATTCTCATCTCTGCCACTCCAACTTTATGCTCTTATTGTCCTGTTAGAGCCCAGCATTCACTACCATATAACATAGCCGGTCTGATAGCAGTACGATAAAATTTTTTTTTAAGCTTATTAGGCACCTTACAGTTGCAAATAACTCCTTTAGCTTTTCTCCAATTAAACCACCTAACTTGAATTCTATGTGAAATATTCTCACTGATTTCGCCATCATTTTGAATAATGGCTCGCAAATATCTAAACTCGCCATCATTTTGATCTCTCAATTTTATTTTTAAATTACTGTCAACTAGTCTCTTACCAAATTTACAATATAAATATTCCGTCTTACTCTTACTCAGACAGAAACCTTTCGACTCCAATGTCCTCTTCCATAACCCAAATTTACAATTAATCTCTTCTCTTGTTTCTGCTATATTTGAGAATTTCCCCTTGAATATGTTCCGTCAAAATATTTAGGACCAAGTTAAACAAATAAAGACTCAAAGATGATCCCTGATGTAGTCTAATCTTTATAGAAAAGTCCTTTGTTTGACCACTAGACGTTCTTATACTAGTTTTTACCTCCTCATACATATCTTGAATAATGGCTGAGGATCAATAAAAATTTATAAAATCTGGCTGGTTGAAGATGTTGCATCTGACATCTGGGTATTCATTATCATATGTCTGTCTGTCTGTTATAGTGGATAGTGGGATGACGATTGTTTGTTCAGTCTCTGTTTACATGTATCAAATTCCTAGTTTGTTGTCTTAGCTTCTGTTAGATTCTGGGGGTTCAGGATCTTTTGATTTTTGAAGTAATGGTTTCTTATGTGTTAACTCTCATTGTCCATTGTTTCAAGTTCCAATACATTCTTGAATTCCTTGACAATATTTCCTTTCGGGATTTAGTTATGAGCATAAACATGTGACATCAAGTACCTAGTGTTTCAAATGCATGATTTTTGAGGCTTGCCTATGTGTGGTTGTTCTATTTAGTTTGTTCAAAACTACTTGGGTTTAAAACACATGTTGATGCCCTTCTATTCTTCTTCGTCACCCTCCTATAGTTTTTGACTGTAGATATGATTGGTGGGTTTTATAATTGCATTTCTGTTCCCCGTTATGAACCCATGTTAGGTTCTTAGGAAGACCAGAAATAGGAACCAGAGAAGGAAAAGCCTTTTCAGAGCATCACTGATTATCTGTTACGTCTCATGGCACAGATCTGTAAGCTGTCAGCAGCTCAGCATGAGAGTGAATTGCTGTCGGTGGTTCATTCTCTCATATTGTCAATGAACGAGACCAACCTTCGATCTATCAATTCTAGTCCATGTTATGCCAGCTGCATCAGGTTCTATCTAGTGAAGCTACTAAGGCTTTCTGGCTATGATGCCGGTGTTTGTGCATCCAAATGGCAGGCCAGTGGCAAGGTTCCTGGAGGTATGTGATCTAACGTTGTTTATGATATCTTGCTGATCACGATTTTACTTTTGCCCGGTCTACTGGACATCCTCCATCAATTGCTTTTTACCATTAAAATAATGAATATTAGGGTGCTCCAAATATGCATTTGACATTCTCTTGCTTATGTTTCCAGCTGATGTTCTCTCTTTTCAACTGTTATGCAGGTGACAATGAATACATTGATGTGGTAGATGATAGATCTGGAACCTCTGAGCGTTTGATTATTGATATCGACTTCCGGAGCCACTTTGAAATAGCTAGAGCTGTTTATTCATATGAAAGGATATTAAATTCACTTCCGGTTGTTTATGTGGGTTCCTTCTCCAGACTGAAACAATTTCTTGGAATAATGGTGGATGCTGCTAGATCTTCATTGAAGCAGAATTCTATGCCTCTTCCACCTTGGAGATCATTAGCATATTTGCAAGCTAAGTGGGAATCACCTTACCAAAGATACATACATTTAGAAGGCGATAGCACAAGAAATGACAATAATGCCTTTAACCACAAGCAGTGCTACGTGCTTTTGAAGAAGCTGCAGTCTTCTCTTCAGTCCGAAATGGAATCAGAGCGAATGTTGAAACCCAGAAACAATGAAAATAACTGGAGGATGATGAAGCCTGAAAAATGGAGGCACTCCAAGTTTTGGCATCTTTGAGATGTACAGATTTTGGCCTTCAAGTGAGAGAGAAATTGAACATTTTGCGGCTTTTTCTTCTTTTCCCCACGTTTTTTTCCTCGGAAACGAAATAAGGGTGATTCACAAACAACAGGTTTATATAGGCTTCTTAAGCAGCAATAAGCCATGCTATGGCGATAATTTTTTTGGTTCTATGCATCACACTTGTCGAGTCCTTGATTGTTTTAGTTTGGTGCCCCCGTAAAGGCCGGCTGTGGTGCTGGGTTTCTGGACCGCAGCTGAACCAAAATGCGGTGTCCCAGGTGCATCTGCATTGTGCTTTCCTAGAGTTTGTAATACTGCTATTGTCCGATTGAATATTCCTTGCCTTGTATTTTGTGGTTCAAGGAAATTTTTGTACTATATGTTATCTTCATATATTTCCATTTACACTATGATTTACAGAGTCACAAGCAATCTATTTCTATTGATAATTTATGTGTAGTCTTCTAAGTTTTCTTATGATATTATTTTGTATTATTTATTCTGGCATCATGCTGGAAATAGGATTTCCTTATAAGATGGAGCTACTGCTACTTTTGCTGATTTTTTCCTCGTCCTGCAGAATCAGAGCCTTAATTTGTTGAGCTGCTTTTATTTAATGGTTTGTGTCTATCATTGTAGAATTCTAGCCTTGATCTCAAAACCAGTCAAGGTACTGCTTCACTCTTTTTAACTGATGTTTTTTTTATTGCACACAAGTGATTTTTTATTGGAGGCAATCTTATTTGGTCTGGATTCAAACTTAGATTCCCTATATTGTGAAAGATTAATTCTTTTTATTACACTCAACCTCTACTAGAAATTGGAGTTTTTCTTCATGCCTCTAAGTTGATCACTTGATCAATTTTAAGATTTAATATTATTTATACCACATTACAAAGACTTCTCTTTGAAGTTTTGTAAAAATTATGTTGACCTTCTCTATATTTTAAAATTACAAATATTCCTGGATTATATTAAAATTATACGGACATTCTGCTTTTTTGGTTTTAAAATGCATATAGACTTCTGAATTTTTTAATTAAATCAAAGTTTTCTATTTTAGCTAATCATTTGTTAGGTCCCTGTAACTTATTTCTTAATTTTAGGAGAAATCTTTATCAGTTTTAAAAATAGAGTAGATGTCCCTATAAATTTAGAAAAATTTAACAGAAGCTTGTGTAATTTTTTAAAATATTATTTTTTATAAACGCCCTTCATATTGTGTGTGTGTGTGTTTGATGCTTAAATATTGTATACAACAGGTTTTCAAACACTGTTTAGTTCATGACATCACCATACTTAGAAGAGCTGCATAATTGTTTGAATCATTTTAAGTTCTTTTCTCTGAATTTTTCTTTACATTCATAGCTGACTTATTATGAAAGTCATGACCATCTCTTTGTAAATTTTCCTCGTATGTATTTGTTTGACGCAGTCAAACTTATAATATTCAATAAAAAAAACTCTTGACATAAAAAAATAAATATAAAAGTGGATCATTGATGGAACTCCTTTATTTCTTTGACCATTCTTGTTGGTTTTTTTTTTTTAAATGAACATTTCTTTGACTATTCAACACTGCTTTGTACGCTTTTTTTATCCTTCTCAAAATGCCCTTGTGAATGCTGACTTGACTAATCCGGTCAAAGCTTGACCGGATTAGTTTTATTATTTAATTTTAAATATTGTTATTTAAAAATATTTATCAAAATTTATAAATTATTTTTTAATTTAATATTAATAGTTTGAATTAATTTTTTAAAAATTTATAGATGACTTGTAAATTATATGTGAAGATTTTTAAATAATAATAACTGTCACACCCTGAACTTTCAAAGTGTGACTGATTGAAATATAAGAAAACTTATATTTCATAGGCTCAAATTCATATAATGTCTAACATATTAATTACCCAATCCATCATATAATCATCATTTGTATTAAATAACTATTAGTATTAACAAAATATTCAAACTTGCTGTAGAAATTTCGGCAGAATTTTCCCTATAAGTTAGACTATCCAAAATCTCTATAACCTGCCAAAAGAATATCCAAGTAGCATTCAGAGTTTCACTTCGATACAATATATATATATATATATATGCACAAATCCAAAATAATTTAATTAAAGATGCTGCCTATATGATTCGTAGAGCGAATCTAAAATAGAACCAAAATACTTAAATATTTACATCATTTCACAATATAAACGAAGCAACAGAATACTTCTTATCTTAAAGAGTCTCACAAGGTTTACGAAAGAGTAGGTCCACTTCTACTATCTGAATAGCAAAATTTTTTTTAATAAATAACGTTCCCATACAATATAATAAATAAATAAGATAATCATGAATATATAAAACAGGAAATAAGTAACTAATCTATTTATTAATGGTATTGAAAAATAATTGCACAATTTATCTTTAATAATTAAGTAACATGGATAAAAAAGAGAAAAATAAAGAATCATAACTAACAAGTTAGGAATATGTCTTTCATATAAAATGAATTATAAAAATACAATTTTTAAGAATAAAAATATAACTTAGAAAACTTATTTTCTGTTAGGACTTAAATAGAGCGAACAACAAGCATGGACATACAATTTACAAGGATAAGTAGCATCCAGTGCAACTAGAAGCTACGAAAAGCAGGTGCAAATATAAAGTTTACAAATAACAGGCGTGGACTATATTTATGAAATTACATTCCCCCCTTTCTATGTGTGTTGGCCAACACATGGGGTTAATACCTCCAATATACCCTGCTAGCTAGGTATGTCATGGTGTGTTAAGGGCTAACAAAATTATCGTTAACAACTAACATTCTATATTCAATCTCAAAAAACATTTCTGTCATGTATGAAGTCCAGAAATCCTTATAATTTGAAATTTTTATTTAATTTGTAAAGTATAAATAACTTTTTTTTTTCATCCATCATTGATCCAATCCATGCTGTATAATATTTTTAAGAAAACATAATACCATGAGAATACTTGCATAATTAAACTCAAATAATAAATAAGCTAATTCCGTATTGTAAATCAATTTAATCATAAGGTTCAATAAAAAGATCTGTTTATAACAATTAAAATAGATTAATAAATAAAGTAAGTAAGAGAAATATCTTCACTCTTCTTTTTGTAATTGGAAAACGTTATTTATTTACATGATATATTATTAAGTTCTTAAAATTTTCTTCTTACAATTTCAGTCAAACTTTTCTTCTTCTAGAGTACCTATTAAATATAATAAAATTTTGATAAATCTTTTAAAAAAAATTGAATCAATTTTTCATGCTTCCTCATTTATGCCTCTAAATTCTCTATTTTATTCTTAGCCAAACTAATTATATTGTTATAACATAATCTAAATCATACTTCTTAAATCGTCATTTGCCAAGAATTAATGTCAATAGTTAGTTGTTAGTCAATGTGTGTGTGTGTGATGACCTCCACATACAATAACCAGGAACCAAATCTTAAATTAAAAATTAATTAAGTAGCAATCTTTACCTACACGCACAGTACTGATCCAAAAAGGAAAGAATTTAAAATTCAATCTCCATCAATGTGCAGCAACCACATAGCACACACATACCGACAGCACAGAGAAAAAAGATAAAGAAATCAACTCACTTGATCAGCAACACTTGAAACAGAGAAAGGGAGAAGATGAAGTCGGCCATGTGTGCAAGGGAGTGAAGGAATTCAAATTCAGACTTCTAGTAACAATAGCTTGGTTACTCGACGTCCATGCATGGAAAGAAACAAGAAGGAGGAAGAAGTCTCGAGTTCTCTCGAAACTCACAGTGGCGGTGAATGATCAGCGACCTACCTACACCTTCATCGATGAACGAAGGAGAAAGAAAAGGAAGAACTTAGGCGAAGGAGTATTCGGCGGGAATAAGCTATGAAGAAGGAAGAATAGAGAATCGACGGAGGCTAGGTGAAGACTCTCTCTCTCTCTCTCTCTCTCTCTCTCTCTCGTTGCTCGCTCCGTTTCTGCAATTCTTAACGGACGAAGAAGAGAATTTGAATAAAAAAGGATAATGGGGAAAATTATAGACTAAGACCAAAGCTTATTGAAAAAATTATAAAATAATACCCCACCGTATTATTATTATTATTATTATTATTATTATTATTATTATTATTATTATTATGGGGTTATTACAATAATAATATTTTAAGTAAATTATAAAAATGACATTATAAGAAAAGTAATAATGATTAAGTGCTTTAAATATTTTAAGTCATTCCCTGAAATTAAGGAGGGAATGAACCTCCAAATAAGTTGATAAAATTAAGATTGTCTTGTTAAATTTGCAACTTTTTTTAATTTTAAAATTAAAAATATATTACTCCCTCCTTTAAAAATATAATTTTAAATATTTTTAGTTTTTCAAGGTGTAACCATTGCCTTTTTTAAAAAATACTTCTATTGATAATGACTTTATATTTATTATAAGATGTTTAATAAGAGTAAATATGAAAAGATAGGGTTAGTTAAAAAGTAGATAACTACTTTATTGAAGGTGAAATTCAGTTAAAAATGTTTTATATTTTTTAACAGAAGGAGTACATTATATGAGAATGTCAATTACGAACAAGTTATATTTCAATTTTAAATATTCATTAATTTAATGGTTAGTTAACCAAAAATATTACAGAGAGTGACCTAGAAAATTTACAAGATTTAATTAATAATTTTTTAAAAGACTATTTTCTTAATAAATATTAAATATTTTAATGATATTTATTAAATTTTTGAACAAAATTTTAAAGTGCTCAACTCTCCTAAAAAAAGTTTAGGGACAAATTATCACCAAAAGGCATGTCACCGTTAGTAGAAAATGGTAGAATTAATGAATTACTAATGGACAAAGATTTTTGCTCTTATGAAAAATGATTTAGGAGAAAAAAATACCCTACTCATTAGTACAAGATATCTAATTCTCCTCAAAAGAAAGTATAAAAAAAAATACACTTTAACCCTTATTTGAAATATTCAATGAAATGGTTTTTAATATTTTTATCCTCACTTTTATTTGACCAGTTTTTATCCCCGCTTGATCTACATATCTTTTGAATTGATGTTATAACTTAAAAATGAATTCAAAGATAAAGTACCCATCTGTTATGTATATTATTATTTTAATTTTTTCTTCACTTAAAGGTAATATTAAAAAAATATTATTAATAAAACTTTATTTTTTTTAAATTGTCTTATATTTTAAGATAATAAAATTTTTTAAAAATTATCTTATAATTTAAAATGAAAATATAATTAATATTACACGTAACGAATTTGTTTATTTCCTATTGTATAAATAACATTTTAATTTAAAAATTATAACCGTGTACATGTTAAAAATCTAAACAAGAATGCTTCAAACAAGGAATGAAACATATCCGGAAGCTCTAGTACCAATTTCTTCACATCAACATAGGCATTTGCATCTTACTACTTTCTACAGCTTGTTTTATTCTCACACAAATTGGTTTAAAATTTATTACTCATACATGTTAAAAATAAAAAAGAATAATTTGTTGTTTAGGATAATATTAAAATTTAAAAAATAAAGTGTAAATTAAAATCAAGATAATAACATATTCTATTTTATAATTTTTTAAAGGAGCATATTAAAAATTTAAATAGCATATTTGTTTCATGATATAGTACTTACGTGTCCGTGCGTTGGAAGTTATTTTAATAACAACTTGTTATTTTTTATTTATGCAAATTAAAAATCAAAACACATGTTTTGTTTTAGAATTTGTTTCTTTCAATAAATAACTTATTTTATTTTAGAATTTATTACTCCATGCACTTAAAAAATATGAATAAAAATGTGTTTTATTCCTACACAAATTATTTTAAAATTTGTTACAATATACCTATTTAAAATATAAAAAATAAATTGTTATTAATCTCATACATATCTTAATAAAAACCTGTTATATTTTATAATTTTTGCCTCTTGCATATACTAAAAATATAAACAATTTATTCTATTACAAAACCTCCTTCTCATACTAAAATTTAGAACTAACTTAAAAACTACAAAAATAAAAAAATATGTTAATAATATTATAAATTAACAGGATAAGACTCATCTTGATGTGATCAGGATAATACTGTATTAATTGGGATGGGTACATGCCAAACACCCTTACTTTACACTTCCTTATTTTAATATTTTAAAATTTAAACCCATTTCAAGTTTATTTTTTATAGCCTAAATCTAAAATTTAATTTTTTTCAGCTCAAAGTCAAATATTAATCTATAATTTCATTATATTTAAATACAAATATTATTATTAATTCTTAAAAAATCTAATTTGACCAAACTATAGCCACATCCTTATCCCAAATGCTAGTTAGAGACTAGTAAAAAAAAAAAAGCAATGAAAAATGAAAATTTAAGATTTAAGAGTAAACTTGTTAAATGTTTTTTTTGCTAGCTTGCTGTACTTGCAAGGTTGAATTAAAAAACAAAGAATAATAAAAAAAAGAAATAGTATATTTCGAAGAGACAAAAAAAAATTCTTGTGTCCAGTATTCTGACTCTACCACTACCCCCGGTGAACCTAAGTCCTGACTCCGCCACTATCATTGAATTAAATGTGAACACCTCTCCTTCAAGCATATATTTATTTATTAAGCTTTTAATATAATGATTTGGGCCTTCAATACATACTGTAGCCTCTTCAATATATATAGATATCATTTTTGGGACTTTCCTGCACTTAAATGACATGACTTTGGCCTTTGAATTAACTAACCGGTAACATGATATGACACCAAGGACTTGATTGCCAAATATATTGCCATGTAAGATTTGATTACTGTATAGGATGTCATTTCAAATGGCACCTAAGATGCCAACTTGGATGCCAATTGAGATGCCACGCAGGATGACATCATTTCTCCTATTAAAGAGGAGGAGGGGGTGGAGAAGCTAGACCACTAGTCGCTCTAGAAAAACAAAAGTCATCATCCTAATCTTACAACATGATCCTATTTGTTTTCTCCCAGAAGATTTGAATACTTGCTATTTTTAGTTTAGCCAAAACATGATAACAATCTAGAGCTATTATTGTAATAACAACAATACCACTTAACAGAGTATAACAAGTCAAATCTTTGATTAATCATCTCAAATGAAAGTCATAACTTCAAAGAGACATTCACATGACATGAACAATAATCATCAATAATCCGCATTCAAGAAGGAGGAGGAGGAGGAGGAAGAATAACTTGATCAACAAAAGCTTCAAAGTGAGGATCAGTGAGCCAAAGAGTTGAGAGATGAACATGAGAAGAGGAGAGTCTATGAACTGCTTCAACTTCCCACAAGATGGATTCTGCTTTCTCTGCACTCAGAATGCTGTCCAATGGCTTCTCACCATCTTCAGCTCCAAATCTGGACTTGTCCCATTGCTTGCAGAGCATGTGAGTCAGATAGTGAAGTGGCTGTCCGTACGAGTTTTCCAGAGTTTTTGCCAATCCTTGCCAGTTCACTGCCATTGCATTTGAAAGACGAGCTCTCGGGATTGGAGTTTTCTTCATCCTCTTCTGGTATTCCTTTGCCACCTCCAATATACCTTCTGCATCATCACAAATCACAATGCATGCATACATAGAGAGGCATATGACAAAGTTGATATGTCAGCCCAAAAAAAAAAAACAAAGCTGACATGTTGAAATTGTTGAAGTTTTCCTATGCTGTGTATATAAGCCCGTTTCAACTGCCCTACTAAAACTAAGAAAAAGTAGCTAAATTATATATACACAAGCATAGGAGTAGATGACAAAGTTGATATCATAATGAAATTGTTGAAGTTTTCTGGTTTAGTATATAAGTTGCTTCTAATTACCTCACAGGAACTAAGGGAATGTAGTTAAATTATTGTTATATCATCACAATATACCTTTTGCATCATCATCACACAGATAGAGGAGTATATGACAAAGTTGGTATCATGGCAATATTGTTGAGAAGTTCTCTGTTAGACAAAGGTATAGTCTCTATGGTCTTATATATACTCCATCCAATTTATAATATAGAACATTTATTTTAAGAAATTTTGTTTGATTTAAAACATAAAATATCGAGTAACTTTTATAATTTTTTTTTTTACAATACACCTATTTCATTTATTCTATGATAAGAGTGGGACCAAAATTCACAGGCCAATTAGAGAAAAAGAAAATTCAACAGATTTGAAAATAAATTGGTGAGGTCAAGCCCAAAATTTGAGCCAATACTCCTTAAGACATTCTTTGGGAAACAAATATTGAGAAAAGTAAGCTAATTGTAAAATGCTTCATGAGATCTTTTTTTCTCCCATTATGCACATGTATCTTTCTATTACAATAATCTCATTTGAGATATAATCAAACACTAAATTTGAGCATTTCTTTTAAAGAAAATTCAAACTTGGTTTGTCACTTTGTGAGAATTAAGAGGTCCTTCCATCATCATCCATCTCTTGATTGTTATGAAATTTAATGGTTTGAATTTAAAATTTTAACCTATAATTTTTTTATTTTTTTTCAGAATAATAGTTATAAGATTACCTTGATTTTAAAGTTTGTACTTATTAAAATAATAACTTATTAAAAATAAAATTTTATCAAATCTAGATGGTTCAAATTAGTGCTCATTACCCAAGCCTGTCATATATAGGACACATTTTGCAATTGCAAGCCATACATTTTAAAATTTTTAATATATAAATGATTTTATATAGTATTCGTAATTTAAAACATGTTATGAATGAATCCTTATATTCATCTCATCAAAATTATTACATATTAAAAATAAAATAAAGTGAAATACTGCAAACAATTTCATTATGTCTAAAATAAATGTATGAATATCCAATAATAGTCTAAGAAGCACATAGTTTCTGTAAATCAATATGAGGTTTCTCAATTCACCATATACTTGTCATATTTAATTATAATTGAAAGATCATAAAGTTGTTATATATTTTGGTTAAACCTTAGATAATATTCATAACTAATTTGAATTGAGTTAAGAGAGACATGAGATCGGCAAGCTCTTCTAATAAATAAATGTAGCTGCATATCTAAAACTTGAATTCAAAATCTATAATTAAACTATCACATCCTCTTACCAGTTAAGTTACATACTTAACCATCGAAAAACTCCATATATCATATGTACACCAAAAAAAAAAAAAACTCAATTCATCGTATAGACTCTTTTCAAAACATAGCTCTTTCTCGAAACTAAAAGATTTGATCCTCTTATCAAACATAAATGAAATCAAATTATACTAATCACTAAGATTGAAATATTTAATAATGTATAAAAAAATTAAATAAAAAACACACACACAAAATTAATAAAGATGAAAAATAATTACAGAATTATTTCTCGAGAATAAATTCAAACCTGGATCAACATTCGGTCTTCCAGGTTCTATGCCTCGTTCATCTTCTCCAAATTTCAACGTTCCTTTCTCTTTCTTCTTAGATTTACTACTGCTTCTGTGCTTTCGATATTTGATTCGTAGTTGAGCCATACGATAATTGTAAATATCATTATCAGACTCTGTCTCTGAATCTTGCACCAGCAAATGCTTGTAACTCAGAGGACGATGATGTTTCAACATCTTGTCTTCAATCTGAGTTGATTCAATGTAATGAAATATATTTTCTAAAGATTTATAAAGGATTGTATAATATCTAACAAATTAAATACTCACTTTATTTAATCTTTGGCACTACTTTTTTTCCCTTAAACTGGTATTGTGCGTTCATGAATGTAAAACATGTATAAATGATTTGGATTCTGTGTAGTCCATGACATTATTTCCAACATAATTGCCCAAAAAACAATCCCATCCTTTGTTTTGTTAACAAAAGTTTTGGTGAATTGAAATTTAAAAGCTCATTAAAATCGAAACATGTCTTTAAATTTAAAATGCACTTACAGAAATTTTTGTCAATTGATTGCCAACCAAAAAAAAATTAAAACATCAGACTTTCTTTAAAAACTAAAAATAAAAATGGAAGGAATCAATTAGATTCAATTTCTTTCTTCTTCCATTTTTTTTATTTTGAAAGACAAGAAAATTAAAAGTATAAGTGTAATTTTTAGATTTATCAGAAAAGGAAACTTATTTTTCTTTCAAAGAGGTTTGTATTATTTGAAAAATGTATATTGTATGCTTATAAATTGTCATAGATTTCATGTCAACAGCATCGGATTGGAATTTTTGTAAAGTTTTGAAATATGTTTTTCCGAACAACTTTGAAATGTTAAACATGTTTAATTGTGAATTTTTAAAATAAAAAGTTAGAATTGTGTGAGTCCAAATAATAGTTCATGAAATTAGTTTGAATCCTCATTAAGAAAGATATTCACATTTAATACCTGATCTTATCTCAAACAAAATTGTTTTTAATAAGTAGATACATGTCCACAATAAAAAGATGTTTCTTTCTTTAACCAAAATGTGTTCGGTTTAATTAATGAGAATCTTACTGCATTTGGTTCTTACATGAAACATTTGTAAGAGAATCACAAACGGAAAGTTTATTGGAGAATCATGTGCAATGGATCCTTAAAGTGAAATTAATTGAGGGAAAAATATTCTTAAATGAGACAAACGCAATGGGATGTTTAAGGACATTTTTTTTAAAATTAATATATTCATGAAAACTTGAAAAGTTCTGTGCCTCGAGCGGGCCACAGAGTAATGGGCCGGGCCTGATGGCCAACAAAAATTGTGAGAAGATTTATTGTTATTTTTGAAAAAAAAAATCCCATTTCAGTTTTTAATTGTAATAGCCTGCCTATCATTCATTGGTCAAAAAAAGCCTACTCATCATTCAGTAGTCAAAATCAGTCTAAAATTGGAGAGAGAAAAATTTAAGGCTTATATTATCCCTCGAGATGAATTGCAAATTATAGATAATTTTTGTCGTCGCTTATTACTCCAACCCAACAATTTAGCTCACATCACTACCAACCCATCAAATAATAGACATTGTAGAGCTATTTGAACGCTTCTTGTCTTGCTGGAGGCAATATTTCTCCGTCTTAATTTCTTCTAACATTGAACAATAGATCTGATTACCACTTATGTTGATGATTTTGACTTTTGACCTTTGGCTTAAACAACACTAAAAAACAAAAAATAAGGCCAAAAAATGACCGTTAATAGCCTTGTTCTTACCTCTTTCCTTTTCATCTACCTAATCACCACCACGAATGCCATCGGCGTCAACTATGGCACCCTCGGAGACAACCTCCCGCCACCAACAACCGTCGCAAACTTCCTCAATACGAAGACCACAATTGATTCTGTTAAGTTGTTTGATGTGAATCCAGATTACATACAAGCTTTTGCCAATACTGGTATCACCGTAGCCGTCACAGCTCCTAACAGTGATATTGTATCACTAGCTGATGTGAATTTTGCACGCCAATGGGTTGTCAACAAAATTAAACCTTTTCACCCAGCAACGAAAATCAAGTATGTTCTTGTGGGTAGTGAAGTGCTTCATTGGGGAGATCAAAGCATGTTACAAAACCTTGTACCTGCCATGAAGTCCCTTTATGATGCCCTTCAAGTTGAGGGAATCCATGATATTCAAGTAAGTGAATAGTGCAATGAATCCTATTTAACTGTGGCTTCAATATCATGAACACTGTTGAATTATCAGGTTCATTTTATAATTAAAAAAATAACTTGCAAATTCTTAAAGCTTGTTTGTAAGTTACATATCTACAACGTATCTTTAAAGGAGGTTTGGTCATTCCAGCAAAATATTTTATCCTTTTATTCCTTGCATTTAATTTTCTTGATGTTTGTTATATTTTTATCCAGCTAATATTTAATTTAGAAATTTGTTCTCAAAGAGGTTAATCTAAAATCATTGTGATCATTTATGTTTAGGTTACCACAGCCCACTCATTGATCATCATGGAAACAATTACACCACCAAGTACAGGAAGATTCAGGGCGGCATACTCAGAACCCATTTTAAAGCCAATGTTAGATTTCTTGAGGCAAACCAAAACACCTTTCATGGTCAATCCTTATCCTTTCTTCAACTTAGATCCTAATAACGTCAACTTTGCTATCTTCAAGCCCAACCCTTCCTTATATGACCCCTTCACGCGCCGCCATTACAAAAATCAATTTGACGCGCTCCTTGATGCCGTTCACTCTGCCATGATGGCCGTTGGTTATGCTGACGTGGACATGGCCGTGGGTGAGACAGGCTGGCCCTCTAATTGCGACAACCCATCAGTTTGTAGTGTGGACAATGCTGCATCTTATAATAGCCAACTTGTAAGGCATATTGCATCAAACAAGGGAACACCGTTGATGCCGAACCGGCGGTTCGACACTTATATTTTTGCATTGTTTAATGAGGACCAAAAACCCGGTGCAACTGCTGAGAGAAATTGGGGTTTATTTCAACCGGATTTGACACCGGTCTATGACTGTGGAATCTTGGGTAATGGACAGGTATGTTTTTTTTTTAAAATATTAGTGGTTTTTTTAAGCCTATCTATTAGTCCTTAATACAAGATCATTTACAAAATTTAATCAAACATTTATGATTTATTTTCAAAAGTGCCTTTGTTTCTTTGTACTCTAAGCTTAATTAGTTAATGGCTTTTTCATCCTTCATCATTCTACCCCCAATAAACTATGCCAATCAAATTGATAATTTTGAAAAATGATTAACAAGGCCTTATGAAAAGAACAAGAGGAAATAATTTGTCAGTACATGGCTCACGGAAAAGTACAAGCTTCTCATAATTTTTTGTTATATATAAAATATAAATTCATGTCAAATTCCACTATTCATAAGTCACGAATAGAAAATTTACAAAAATATAATATCTAAAATTTTATTAAAAATAAATACGCACCGAAATATATATGCACATACATGTGTGTGTGTAAATCAAGTTCATAATTTATCTTTAGTGTATAATTGGTAATCCTGGCCAAATCTGAATAAGCTCAAAGGAAGAGGATATTGTTATACATAATATTTATGACAAAGTATAGTTTGTACTAAGAGATTATATATATTTGAGTATATTTTTAGAGATATTTTCTTAAAAAATTAAAAATATATATTGTTATATTTTTATCATTTTTAATCTGAAAAATACTGTAAAATAATCTTGAAAATGTATTTAATATTTTTTTTTAAACTTTAAAATCCAGAATTTTTCTTAAAAAATTGAGTTTTCAATATTTTTCAGATATCTTAAAAAGTATATTTTATATTTTTATAATAACAACAATAAGTAATTTTAAGTTAAAAAATTGAAATTAGATTTTATTCTATAGGTTCAGGTTTTATTCGAGTTGACCTGAATTATCATAATGTATTTTTAAACTAATAATTTATTCATATTCATTGACAGGCAGCCCCAGCAACGCCAGCAGTCCCAGTTCCCAGAAAAGGAAGGGGTCATCATAAAGGAAGAGGAGGAGGCCAATGGTGTGTGCCAAAACCAAACGCAGCTAATGAAGCACTTCAAGCAAACATTGATTATGTGTGTAGTCAAGGCCTGGATTGTGGGCCCATTCAACCAGGAGGGGCCTGCTTTGAGCCCAACACTGTTCTGGGCCATGCTACTTATGCCATGAATGCCTACTATCGCGCCAAAGGCCCGGCCCAAATCAACTGTGACTTCTCTAATTCTGCTCAACTTACCACTGTCAATCCAAGTAAGTTTACTGTATATTCTCCCACTTATAATCATAAGTCTTATTTAATTAATTTATATAAATAAAAAAATTAATTAAAATTAGTTTATTGTTTTAAAAGTATACAATCTCTTCTTAAATATTGTAAGTCCCGTTTATTTAAAATTAAAAAATAAGTTATTTTGAAATAGTTTAAATATTTTATAAAAATAGATATTATTTTATATTTGGTTATATAATAAAAAATTATTATTTAATTATTTTTATATTTTATGATATCTTTTTCAATATCTATTTCTAAAAATAATTTTTTATTTATTTATTTATAATATTTTCATGTCTCTTCGTAAAAATGCAACATTCTTTCCCATTTACTGTAGCAAATTATTGTTAAAAACTATTCAAAATAGCTTCTCAAAATAATTAACATTTTTTTATATTTTAAGTATTTTAAAAAAATTAAATAAATATCTTAGAATTTCACAAAATAGATCTTTTTTGAAAAAAATAATGATTTTTTTGGGGGGGGGGAACTTAAAGAAGCGTGCCCTTAATTACATGAAAATTCTTGATCATCTCTTCATAATCTCTCTCTCCCCCATAACTAAACAAAATCCATGCTAAAGGCTCTATTTGAAAACAATAATAATTGAAAGAATTACTTCCAATTAGGTTGGATAATGCTCAAATATAAGTCAATTAGATAATTATATAAAATAATAATAATAATCGATTCATATATATTATAAAATAATTATAAATGGGATCATAAAAAATTATATAATATGACTTATAAATAAAAATGAAGGTAGTATTGTTTTCCAATGGGATCATAAAAAATTATATAATATGACTTATAAATAAAAATGAAGGTAGTACTGTTTTCCAAAAAAAAAACAGAGAGAAATTTTAGAATTTAATTGCCAAGATAATTGGACAAAGTTATTTCGTGTTCTTACTCTTCATTGTGACTACTTATGATGTTGCGTATGTGTTCTTGTTATTGTTTACAGGCTACGGTAATTGTAAAATGTGAATGCATCTCTTGAAGATAAGAGAAGAAATAAACTGAATATTCTTGATGGGAATGAAGGGAAAGGAATAAAAAGAACTTAATTAGTGCAGGTGTGAGATTTATTTCTCAGTGAATTTCATGACCGCTTTTGTAAGTATATCATGTTGTAAATATGGATACGATCTGATATGAATCAAAAGATTCCATTTTCTTTGGAATATTGCACTATAGAGACTGTAATTCTGTAAATAAGTTGATTTGATCAAGTTATTGAAAAAAGCAATAGTACAAAGGTTAATCAATGACCAAAACTGTAATTGAATTATGATTAAATCAGTCATTAACAAAATATTTTATTGAGTCATTTAAAATATTGATTCAACAATTTATCAATTTAACTGGCTAAGTTAACTTGATTTTGATTTGGAATGCATTTTTTTCTTTATATATATATATATATATAGACTGTTGCATGCATGCATGTAAGATATATGAGTGATGGATGATATTGGTGGCAGCTTTGTTGCCAATTGAGAGGATACAAAAAATGAAAAACAACCCAAAAGCAAGTGTCTAACCTTTTTGTTGAGACTTGCACATCAACTTGGCTATCAATGCAGATATTTGAATGAATTAGCTTCGAACATCAAGCACTGATAAAAAGTGGGATAAGATATATCTGACACAATACCAAATGCCTTTTGGGCCTGCTTTAATGAATCCAGCGAATTAATCCAAATATTAATAATCTATCTCATAATGAACAGTCGAGAATTATTTTATTTTTTTATTTTTCCTTTAATAGATGCAGAATTTGAAACAATGATAATCTTTTAATTTGTTGTTTTTTTAAAAAAATAAATCTTAAAAATTTAAATTTAGTTCCAGATTTTAACGATTGGCACAGCTTCCTTGGTGTCTGTCTCATTGGCCATCTGGCAAAAATTGAATGTTAAAAGGTCTGTTTAAATTTTAATTAGATATAATTAATTATAAAAAAATTAAGTAGTGTCACACCCGAAAATGCGACACGAACGGCATGCAAATGGAGGTTTCAGCTTTCGAGACAGGAATAAGATGAAACGAAAGTCACAACCAAATTTTTGAAGTAAATTTTGAAAAATCAATTAAAGGAGAATAATGATAGTCTGCAAAAATAAAAAATAAGTTCGGGAGTCGATTGAATGTGAAAAAGATGTTAGCCACCTCACAACACCCGTTCGTGAGAACAGTTACCTGAAATTTGTTGTGCTAAATTAATATAGTTTTAAAGTTATTTTAATTATTCTTTTCTTATTTACATATTTTTAAAAATGATAATAATAAAATAGAAAATATTTATTTATTTACGAGGGAGAACTTAACTCAAAATCAGACTTTGAGGCCTACGTACCCTGTGATGGGGATCAAAGTCCACATAATTAGGGTTTAAAAGTTACTGGTGAAAATATTTTTTTTTGAAGAGAAATTAATTATAAATAATTCATCATTTTACAAATAAAATAATTTTTAAAGTTTTGATATGTGTGTTTTAAATTGTAAAAAATAATTTAATTTTAATTATTTTCTCAATTTTTAAATTTTGAAATAAAGAAAAGAAAAGGGTTTAAAATTATTTTTTTATATTTTATGATTGAGAATTTAACCGCTATACCTGCAGGGCCTTATTGGCTCATACGATAATGCAATTATTTTAAATATCTACAGATATTCTAAAATCTCACACGATAGAAAAATTTAGCAACTTAATTTATTTATTTATATTCTTATATATTTTTTAAGTATTAATAATAATTTTTTTATGCATGTATGTACATATACAAATTTTTTTTAAAAAAATCTTAATCATTATACCTGCAAAACTTTATTAACTTATATGGTAATATGATTATTCTAAATATCTACGGAGATTTTAAAATCTCACACAATAAAATATTAAATAATATGCATTTAACTATATTCTAATTTAATTGATTTATTATGTATATATATAATTTACATATTTCTTTAAAAACTCAATCGTTATATCTGCAGAGTCTCATTGACTCATACAATAATAAGATTATCTTAAAAATCTAAGGAGATTCAAAAACCTCATGTGACTAAAAGGTATAATCGATAAATGTGATCACAACTTAAATACATTAACTTGATTAATTAATTTTTTTAAATTGTGCATTATATGATTATTTACAAAAATCATTTACTTATTATAGAAATTGAGAATCATACATCTGTGAAGACTTATTATCCCACAAAATGATATGATTAATTTAAATCTTTATAAAAATTTTTAAAATCTCATATGAAACTTAAATATTTATTATAAAAGAGAATTAATTTTAATAACGGGCCTTTAAAATCCATTTAAATACATATAAGATTGATCTTCATACCTATAAAATTTAATTAATTTCACGATAGATATCATTTTAAATGCCTACAAAAATTTTTAAAATCTCACACAACAAGTAAATAATTAAAAAAATCTTCTCCTTTTCATTTCATTTATTTTATATTTTTTTAATTGGGCTTCAATCGTAATTAGCACCAAACTCTCTCCCCTCACTCTTTTATAAGATATGCCTGTCATAATAGTTGGAATCATACATGCAATTATAATAAAAAGTGCCATAAGGTATATATGAGTGTAACAATATTACAAATAAGCCAAGTACCTTAGGCTGATACAAGGACAAAAATCATGCCCCTATTTATTAGTATGCTCTTTCATGATAAGAAAATTTATTTTAAATCCAATTCATCATCTAGTCTAACAATCACAACAATTTCCTTCCCTACTTAAGACAAAACAGTGGCAGGAATTTATCCAAAAATCAATTCCAATAAATTATTGCCACAAACCAAAAAAGTTACTGTGAGTCTCTCTTTTTAAAACACATCAATTTCTTTATTGTCTTTGGTCAAAACACGATAGGAATATACCAAAAATCACGGCAGGCAATATCTTTATCTGAAATCTCTTTGCTTTTAAGAACAACACAACAATTTCTTCACACGCGAAATTATAATGCCCAAACCACATCAAACATTTAAGATAACAAATCATATTTCATTTAGAGTTCCTCCTATAAATACATATTAAAGGCTTGCTGAAAATGATTAACTACAGCAATTGGAGAGCAACCATCAATGATCAAACTTGTAGTGAGACCAGTCCAGACCAAACGCAATCAAGCAACTTCATCACTATATTGTTTTTCTCAGCCAAAACCGTGATAAGAAAATGCAAAAAATTCATCTTCTGAAATTTAAATGCCTTTGAACATGCATAAATAATCGATGCAGCGCAAGCATCCCAAAAGCACAGGTCGGAACAGAGCACCTCATGCCAAATTCTCTATCCATCCATGTAACAAAGTATATACACTCAGAGGATTTATCAAAGAACTAATAGGACATATTAACCAAATCCTCTCAAACAAAAATCAATCTCATATTCGAAAATCTCTCATGGTCCCCAACTTTGATCAAAGCTTGTGATATTTAATCATAAAATTTGGAAATGAGAAATTGAAATCAAACATAAAACCTTCTAAATCCAAAAGCAAACAGATTAGAGAACCTATGCAGTGCCAAATCGCTCAACATCCTCTAGCTTTTAGTTGTTCTCCATTGCTCCATGTGCTTCATACTTAGATCCCTCTCAATTCTGAATGCTCTCGTCTATGTCAATCTTCGATTTCTCTCCGTCTCTGTCTCTCTGTTTTTTAAAAGCAATCTCCAGAAATCGCCTAGCTCTTCAGTCCCTCATATTTTTTCCAGAAATTCCTCAATCTCAGATTCAACCTTCTCGCCCTCTCGATCCCAGATCCCTTTTTCTTTTTTTAGCTCTCTTGGCCCCTCTTCTGCGTGCGTGCGATTAGAAAAAACTCTGAATCTCCGAGGAAGATGAGGGGAGATATGCGATGAAGTGGTAAGCTCTAGATTCAAGCGAATGGTTGAACTGAATCAGCCTCCATCATTCGTGCGTCGCCTCCCTTCTCCCTCGTTCGTGCCTTCTTTTTAGACAATCGCAAGGATGAGCTCGTCTTCCTCTTCTCGGTTTCTTGTCTTGAAAACAGATCACAAAAATCTCCAGAAACCTCTTCTCGGTCTCTTCTGTTTCTCCAGATCGCTCTCAATCTCTCTTGCTCAAAGCCTCCCCTAAAACCCAGATTTAGCCTTCTCTTCCCTCCCGCCGTGCATGCCTCTTCTATCTGCCCGTGCCAAAAGTGTCGTTGTGTGTATCTGCTCTGCTCTTCCCAGTCGCACACAAGTCTGCTTTCTACTTTGGGTTTCTCCTTCTCTGCTTCGTGTCTGCTGGTCTGATCTCCAGAAGGCTTTTCCCTTTCTTTTTTTTTTTTTTCCCACGCGGGAAGGGCGAGTGAAGCTTCTTTTGGGCTATCGGTGAAACGCTGACAATTCAGCATTTCATCCAGCCCATTTCCCTTTTTTTTTCAATACTTTTTTTAATTTCTGAAATTAATTTAAAAGAATTAACTCTCAAAGTTAATCTCTAATATTTAAATAGTTGAGAAATTTAGAAGAGATTTTATAAAGTTTAAGCAAGATTTTTTTTTATTTTCAAAATTGATTTTGAGGACCAATTTACTTATCTTCTTTATGTTAT